TTATAGGAGGCACAGGTCGTTCATTCACAACACAGTGATGCCTGCAGTCGAAGGCGCATCGGGTCTATCATTTTTTGGGGCACAAATCCTTTTTGCGTTTCCTTGGCGTGAGCAATGAACGTTAACACCGGGTGACAATGTGATTTACTGAACAATACAGTCGGGAACTTACCTTCATGGGTACCTGGTATTAAATTCCTGAAAGATGCCCGAGATCAACTTTTGCTTGTCGAGAGAATTATGCAAGAGCCTGTGGACGAAGTAAAAACCCAAATGGTATACTGTGGCAACGTCTATGTGATTATATAGCTGATATTTCTTGCTAGCAGGCTCAAACTAGTAGCTCAACGGCACAATCGTGGGCACGGGACTTGTTACAGTCAGCTGAACGTGGAGACGATCCGAATGCTCTATCTGAGCGCGAAATTAGAGAGGTTACTTCCACTGCTATCACTGGTGAGCCTCTTGCTCGAGCCTTGTCCTAAAAGCCCTGACCTGACACGTGTTGCATTTAGGCGGGATTGACACTGTAATTAAGCTGCTGATTTGCGATAACTGCAAAGCCTGACCCAATCTTATCATAGACAACATCCGCCCTCAAGACGATGATTCTAGCTATGTTAACATATCCCGATGTTCAAAAACGGGCACAAGAAGAGATCGATGCCGTGACTGGTTATGACCGACTCCCCGACTTCAGCGACTTGTCCCAATTACCATATGTCATTGCGATGTGTAAGGAGGTGCTTAGATGGAGTCCACCTCTTCCGGTTGGTAAGTTAGCATTGGTAACTGGCCCACAAATGTTGAAGCTGACGCGCTATTGAAAGCATCTCACAATACGTCGAGCGCAGATCAGTTCCAAGGTCATGTCATCCCAAAAGGTATCTGCCAAAACCGTGTTAGGTAGCTCGGTTGATTCATTCGATCACAGATACAACAGTAGCCGTCAATTTATGGTAAGCTTAATCTATACAATACGTTCGGCCACTCGAAATATTTGGTTGCCAGGGCTATGTCTCGCGATTCGACGTTTTTCAAAGACCCAGAAAAGTTCCTACCCGATCGTTACCTTGAAGAGAATGAAGATCTCTCTCTTTCTTGGGGACTCGGGCGAAGGTATCGGTCCGCTTGATTCTTGAAATCCAGTACAACTAAAGAGCATCTAGATCATGTCCTGGGCGAAACCTCGCCGAATCGATGCTTTATTTAGCAGCCGCCCGAATTCTGGCGGTATACGATATTCGGAAGCAGCGAGCACCAGATGGGAAAGAGCTGGTTGTAAATCCCGAATTCGTTTCACAGGGTATTCTACTGTGCGTAAATCACTCGCCTGCTGGGATACTGACTGACGCAAAGCTTCCAGCCAACCAAAGTCGTTCCGGTGTTCTTTTGTTACACGATCAAAGGACGCAAAAGCATTGGTCGAGAAGCTCATTGAGGCTCGTGGGGATGTGTTCTGATAGCTAACTACGTCCATCCAATTGAAGTGTTCATAGTACTTCCATTGGGGCTGAGTGCTTCACCCCAGCCTACGGTTCACAGGCGAGATGGCCGAGCGGTCTAAGGCGCCAGACTAAGGATCAGGACGATTCACGTCCTTGTAATCTGGTCCGAAAGGGCGTGGGTTCGAATCCCACTCTCGTCAGCTCTGCGAGCAGTCCTTTTTGAAATTTTGAATACTCTGAGCGTTGTTCTGAGTAGAGATAAAATACGGTTTCCAATCTCCCGGAATCCGCACTCCCGCTCCGAGCCCAGATCCCTAGGTATGGGAATTTTCACGTGACATTCTCAATGCCCATCGCTCCTGGATTTTGGCAGAATCCAGATTCCTTGTATCCCAACCATCAACATTTCCTTTGCATCTGCCCCGTGTTCTCACTCCCAGAACATTCTATATCCAACGTTGACACCGAATAGCCTGGGGACCAGTTAAGATGTTGATTAAGGTCTTGTTCAATTCGCCAGATCATCACAATGCCCTTTTCATGCCCCTTTTTTTTTAGCACATTTGAGGCTTTTCATCTTGAATTCCGACCCCGTGCAAGATGCTAAAATCGGATGGCCAGACAGAAAGTCGAAAGACAGTATCATGAAGCTTCCCGAATCGTTTCCTTCATATCATCGCGGTGGTTTTCTTGCACACCATTTCGATGCCTAATACCGTGATAATGATAATACAACTTGAGGTATGTACGTATTGTTGCTCTCCATCAGCAAACCAAACAGAGCTGACTTCCTTTCAGGCCTTTACGTTCCTCAGCCAATAATCTATTCACAAATACACTCTCCGCCACACAAACAGGTCGCCGGCACTACGGTAAAACCTCTATGCCGAGTTCCCCCCAACCGCCGTTGATACGATACTGTCGCTCTAACCGCCGGAATCAAAGGGTTGCTGCTACCGCAGTCCAGGGGTCTGAAGTTGTCGGCATGCTTGCCAGTGATACACATCAACGTTGAAGGAGGTACTACGGCAAAACATCTCGCTGAGTGCTATAAAGGTACGTTCTGTGAATCATCGGTGCTTGCATCCAGACATGCTTACCGTTCTCGAGCTCTCTCCTACTTTTCAGTTGCTCCTGCAATTCGTCGGTTGCAGTATCTCCCTGGTTTTCATCGTTCCCCTTCTCGTCAACCTTTCCCACCTTTTTTCTCTTTCTCATCGAAATCTTCCCGGCCCGCCGAGCTCTGGTTTCCTAAGGGGCAATCTGCAGGAGATATTTGATGCTGTGCGTTTTCTTGTTGCATACGATCTACTCCATACTAAGCTATTCGACACCCAGGAGGATGCATCGATATTTGTCCGGTGGGTCGAGCAGTACGGACGAGTTTACAGACGAACGACATTCTTTGGGGTGAGCATTTCGATAAACACCCACGCCATACTTGTTCTAACCTGGATGATGCTTCAGCGACCTGAGATTGTGATCTCAGATTTAAAGGGCGTTACGCACATTCTCCAAAACCATTATGACTATATCAAGTCGGATTCGTTGCGTTACCTTTGAGCCGTGTAACTGGTTTTGGTACGTGTCGTCGGGGATTGTAAGGGATGATACTCAGATTATGCCACTGCCACAGGTATTCTTGTTGTTGAACAAGATGAACATAAGAAACAGGTATGTAGTCCATGTGTCATCTGAAGCGGTTCAGAGTCCTGACCTTATTTATCCCTTCATAGCGAAGAATCATGGTGCGACGAATGTCGTTCGGTTTTCAATGGCCTGTGTCTTACATTGAATCTCTAGAACCCTGCTTTCGGTCCCGCTCAAATACGTGCCTTGACCAAGATATTCGTGGACAAATCCATTGAAGTACGCGTTCGTTTCTCAAATAGTGACATAATATTGAAGAGTCGATTTTAGCTTCGCGACGCCTGGGTCAACACAATCGAGAATGACTCCGGCGTGGGTCGCGTCGATGCACTGATGTGGTTGACCCGGATGACCCTGGATGTAATTGGTCAAGCAGGTCGGTTTTGTTGAACGTTCCTTGCTCCTCCTATCACTAATAGAGTCTAGGTTTCAACTATAACTTTCAAGCACTCCAAGGCGAGCCGAACGAGCTCAACGTTGCATTCTCGCACATTTTTGAAAGTGGCAGCAGTCAAATGGACTTGCCAGTCTTATTGAAGTTGTTCTTCCCGATCTTGCGTTTCCTGGTAAGCCGCTTTCGTGGCCTTTGTCCATTCCCGCCTGTTGATACGGAGAGATACAGCCCGAAACGAATGGAGCGATACGAAAAGCTCAGGCGACAATGTCCCGTATAGGAAAGCGTTTACTATCCGATGCAAAGGCAACAGACGAGAAGAATGCCAAGGATTTGCTCTCGCTACTGGTCAGCTCCAACAAGAGCAAGGATCTCGCAGAAAATCAGCGGCTGACTGACGACAAGATCCTCGCTCGTGCGTGTCACGATTCACTTTTTACTGCTCCTACTCATGCTATGTTGTAGAGGTACCCACGTTCCTAGCTGCAGGCCACGAGACCACTAGGTATTTCGCTCCACTCGTCAGTTCAATTATTCGCTCAATCAGTTCGCAGTACCGCGACCACTTGGGCGTTGCTAGCCTTGACGGACAATGTTGAAGCTCAAACCAAACTTCGGGAAGAGACACTATCGGTTTCAACAGATATGCCTACGATGGAACAGCTCAATGCACTTCCGTATCTGGATGCCGTCGTTCGTGAAGCGCTTCGTCTATACGCCCCTGTTTCAGAAACCAGTAGAGTTCTTGCAAAGGACGATGTGATTCCCTTGGGTGAACCCTTTACGGATAAGAATGGTGTCGTTCATCACGAAGTGAGGTACGTCACCTTGTTGTCGAACGCTGCAGTGGATATGCTGACTTTGAGGCAGAGCCAAGAAGGGTCAAGAGTTCATTGTATCTATTGCTGCGCTCAACCGCGATAAGACGTTGTGGGGCGACGATGCTGATGATTTCAAGTATGTGACCAGTCTTCTTCGCATCTTACCTTGGACGACATTGCTCATTCCATTGACAGACCCGAACGCTGGGAGAAGATCCCGGAGGCGGTTTCCAGTATTCCGGGTGTCACGAACAATATAATGACATTCCTTGGGGGTGCTCATGCCTGCATTGGTTGGCGATTCTCCATCATCGAGTGAGTGGACTTCTCTGCTGCGTGGGATATCTGGGCAGGCTCATACCTAATGTTCACCTTCAGGATGAAAGCGTTACTATTTGTGCTCGTCAGGTCCTTTGAATTCGAGTTGGAGGTTCCCCGAAAAGACGTGCTCAATAAGAAAGGATTCCCTGTCCAGCGACCAATGGTAAAGGGAGAAAATAAACTGCCATTGCTGATTCGGACAGTTATTATCTAAAGATTCTAATACGTATCATAGAAGGGTCACAATAAACTGGACTCATGCTACAATATCGCCAATACGCCGCGGCGCCCAACAGCCTGACAGGTCAACTCGGCAGTAGCGCTATTGACAACTACGTAGCAGTAGGAAACCGTACGAGGAACAAGGGCGAGATGGCCGAGCGGTCTAAGGCGCCAGACTAAGGACCAGGACGATTATCGTTCCTCTCTGCTCAGTTCAGTCTGAGTAATCTGGTCCGAAAGGGCGTGGGTTCGAATCCCACTCTCGTCAACGCAGTCCTACTTTTTTGTTTCACGCAAGGGATTCTTGAAGCTTGAAGCTTGAAGCATTATGGATTTGGCGACGATAGTTATCAGTAATTTGGCAATGGTAAGGGAAACGATGACGCGTCCACCCGTCGGAACGTTACTCCAACTTGAAGCGCCCGAAACTCGAGTTGACTTCATCCCATCATGATCATTTACACTCCCGGTACCACGCTCTTCAAGTTCTAATTCATCCAACTGCCTCTCTTCTACATCCGCGTTCCCGTTCAATCTCAAATTACCTGCTCTTCGAATGGCCACTAGAAACTCTAGCTCTAAGACTAGATTAGAACTACGGACTTGTTTGCCCGCATTGATTTCTATCAATTCAGCTCGTGGCTGAGTGACTGGTTGCTCGAGATCCTTTTGACAGGGCCTCAACAAGGCCTGCTGGGAAGATTTGGATTGGTGATCCGGCAAAGAATGTCCGTGAGTACCTCGCTCAGTTTCAGCTTCATGCCTGTTCCTTGATTGGATGCATATCACCACAGGGCTGCGATTCATTGCTAGTATAAAAGAAAAGTGACAAGCCTGCGTCAAGAAGGGTCGCACAAAACCAACATTTTAGGCTCTCGACAAATGATACAAGCACGCCTTCTCATCCTCTCAGCCTTCACCGCTCTCGCAGCTGCCTATCCCTTCCAGCTCCAACCGTCAGGAGGTCGCGATGAAAATGCATATTGCATTGTCGCTTCGGAGGACCGAGATGGGGCACCCGTCGTTATCCAAGAATGCAGAACTGCCGCTTATGACAATAGAGCTTGGAGAGTTCAACTACCCGACAAGTTCGAAAAAGGGCCTGCGCCTATTGCGATCTTTGAGAACAAGGTTCGTCAGGGTTTCTCCTGTTCTGATTCGCGGGGATTAATAGCACGACATTCTAGTGCTTGGACGTCACAGGCGGCGACAAGGTTGACGGAACGAAACTTCAAATCTGGACTTGCGATTCTGTCAACCCTAATCAACAATGGATATCGACAACTGCCAATACCTTCAGGTCGGTTGATTCAAACAAGTGTATCGATCTCACCGATGGATCCATGGCGAACGGCAACCAGCTTCAAATCTGGGAATGTGACGATCGCAACTCTAACCAGAGGTTCTTCGGCATCACAGCTGAAGGAACTGCTCATGCTGTCTACATCGAAGCTGGTAAACCCGAATGTACGTATCCAGCCCATTTTGGCGTTCGCTAAATCGAAACTGACCATTGCAATCTCTAGCCAACGTCGACCGACCCGTTATGGTAGCCACCTCTAATGCTGACGGTGCTCCCGTCGCTCTCGCCACCCACAACGACTTCACGGGATTGTACCCTGATGGTAACCAAACCTGGGTTATGCAAGACTTTCCCTGGCCAGGCCCAATCAGGACGTATGATGGCACCAAGTGTCTTGACGTCCCCAATGGTAACGATGTCAACGGTCAAAAAGTGCAGCTCTGGTCTTGCGTGGAGGGAAGCGCCAACCAGCAATGGGTACAGTCAAGCGGCATAATTCAGTGGTCTGGACATAACAAGTGTCTGGAGATTGTGGATGGTAAACAAGAGCCTGGGGGTGAGGTGCGTTGTGGTCTTTCTTTTTCTTTTTGTCGCGGTACTGCAGGCTGATTCGGAATGGTTTTGATAGATTGAAATCTGGGAATGTAGTGGTAATAGCTTAAACTGGAACCAAATCTTTGTTGCGTTCCAAATTTAAGGCCAGAGTTAATTAACACGGACACGGACTTGTGGATAGCGATGTTCGAGTTGTCGGTCTTTGGGTACCTACACGTCGGTTCTTTTGCGGTAGTAGTTTATTGATCTATTGCATTGTCATGGTAATATACGCTTGTAATGGTGCACTTTATCGTACAGCCTGAGAATCAATTTTCGGTCTACTTATGCTGGACAACATCTAACGATGGATTTCCGATACATTCAAACTTGAAGTAATACACGATGGTAAGACAAGAAAGATGGTAGCAATGGAGCGATGGGTGAACATGTATAGGTAACGGGGAAAGCAAGTGCGAACGATAGATATCATGACGGGTAACGAGATTATGTGGGGTATCAATGACAATTTGAATGAGGATGCAAAGGCGGACGGAAAGACGAAACAGACAAAGGGATACGTCTTTAATAACGAAGAGTAAGACATGGATGGAGCGATGAGTGAGCATGTACAGGTAACGATAACAGCGAAAGCAAGGTGAAGTATGATGGGTAGGTTAGGATATGGGTAACGAAATCGTGAGGGGTATCAGTGAGGCTCGTAAAGGCGCATGGGGAGAAGATGAAAACTCGGCGGTAAAAGAATCTCGAATATAAATGATAGCGATGAATGGGGGACAAAACCTCTCACTTGCGCAACCGTGGACATCGTCCTCCATTCCTCTCCCGAGCCTGCAGATGCCTGTTCAACGTAAAATTGTCCCTCGCGGACTTGCCACAATACTGGCACAGGAAGCTCGACCCAAAGTGACTCTTGACATGCCTGAATAGAGTTGAGAGGTCACTAAAGTGACGTCCATCCTTTGCGGCATCGCACTGGTCAGCGGGCCAGGGGCATTGGAGGGTTGAATCACAGTTATGGTGCGATTTGAGATGGCGACGGAGTCTCTTTTCGAGTAAGGAGTGACCAAGTGAGATGCCGCAGATGCAGAAGAATGTGGAGGAGCTGGTGGGACTGATGAGGAAAGAGATATATACTGAATGTTAGCCTGGGAGTTGATATATGGAGTAGATCTTCTCGTACCTTGCACCTTCCAAGATATCTGGAGTGGTGGCAGCACTGATGTCCGTGTATGGACTAGTGACACGGCGTAGGCTATTAACGGGCGGCTGTTCGATGAAGGTCAAATGAGCCTTGGGCTGAGGCATGGCTGGAGCCGGCATCGAAGGTCTGGTAAAAAGAATCTTTAGTCCGTTAGAATTAGCGAAAGGCGAATAGATTTACAGCCTGTAATCTTGCAACGCAGCGGTGTTATCATATAACTGGGTTGAGGCCTCCGGCGGTGGAGAGAAAAGGTTAAGATCGGAGAAGTCGGTCGGGGGGATGTAGGAGGAATCGTAGATTGTTGTTGGATCGTTTATAAGCCCGCATTCTCCTTGTTGAAACATATCATTCAAAATATGTTGGAACTCAATGAATGCTGGGTCACTATAATTAAATCCAACAAGATCGACGTCAAGGACGTCGACGTTAGAAGGTGCCGAAACAATCCTTGTTTGCGATGACAAGGATGAGAAGTAGTACAGAATGATCGGAGTAAGACACTCACTTGTCTTCGTACGCCATAATGCTGAAATCTGAGGAGGTGAATACAGCGTCGAATGAGGGGGTGAAAGAAAGAGGTGAAGCAACGAAGAAATCGCGGCGTGACAGTTATGGGGCTGCCTGTGTAATCACGTTACCGTGATTGAAAGAGTCACACTTTCACCGAATGTGGAGGACAATAGTGGGCCACGGCTCGAAAACATGGACACACAGACCACACAGTCCATTCTCGGCATAATGTCCGAGAACAAGTCACGCGTCATAAGCAGCACTTTCGCCCGACAGCGACATCGTTAACTTCACCTGGAGGCTGGAGCATTTCACCTCTGGGTAAGGCCATAAGTCCATCCCTGTCGCGACTATGTATCTGGATAACCAAACTTCGCCAATGATATCTCCGTCCCAGAAACCTGTTGATTGGCGAGCCGGCTTAGAAGCGTGTAGGACTGGGAAGTTTCCACGAAATCTAGATAGGAAGACCGTTGGGTCCTAGCATGGAGTAGCTCCGTAATGCTGCATGTGCAATGGTATCAGCTTCAAAGAGGTGCGGTGCCTTGGCCTTGCACAGTACCCAAGTTGGTAATGCCATGTTTCCGAACTCAGCAACATTATACGACAGGATGTAGACGGAGATCGTTCAGCCGGAGGACCTGCTGCCATAGCCTGAATTCACAGGGTTTTTTGCTGCAGCCCGTGTCGTATAGCGATGCGAAACTTGGATATTAGGCAGCAGAAAAGGTATATCTGAGTTTCCAAGACTTGCGCTAGATTTACAGATCCCAGCTCTAGAATTCTCGTCGTAATAGAATGCTATTTTCAGCAATGCGTCAGCACAGTAGCCCCACAAGCAGAAGCGGCAACATGAATCTCACTTCCTGTGCCGAAAAGACACCAAATACGTCCTAGATGCCCACAACATGATCTCCAACTCCCACCTCCCCCCTACTAGCTCGTTCTGGAGTCGAGGTAGACTGCGTTTTCTGCTTCCAAGGTTTTGTTGAATGTCGGAGCGGGCAATAATGACGCCTTTGCATAGGCTTACGACGGAAGTTACCCCTTCACAAGTAGATCTTTCCGAGGGTCATAGACTGTCATAAATCTGCAAGACATATGAGCCACGGCCACCATATTCATATCAAAATACTCGCCGCTAGCCATATCATCTCGGCCTGAGCAGGTTCAACCAATGCCATCGAGAATTTTCACGACTTTAGTGTAAAATCAGAGCTACTCGTTCTCGGAAAGTGATGTTTCCCTGTTCTTGAGCTAGGACCCATGCGAATCTGCTGTGTACAATGAGTGCATTTTTGGCAATGGGAGAAGTGAGCTGGAAGACTAAGAAGCGAAGCGATTTTCGGGGCTACTAGTACCTGTCACCGATGAATCGATGACGCGTAATACTTACATCCGTCGGAGATTCCGGCGGCTGGTGAAGTAAAATCTTAAAGATACATTTAGAGCACAGTTCTACCCAGATTGCCTAGACAGTGAAGGCCATACAGATAACTATCGATACAGAAACTTAAAGGTGCTACAGTCAAAGTCCCCGCAATGCCATCTCTAATTCCCAATCTGCGTCACGCCCGGAATCTAGTTCTAAAATCAGACCCGACAAATGGAGAACTGCAATTAGAACCGAACGTACCTTTAGGATCTTGGAGCTGACCCATGTCCTTGATCTCCATGATAGGATGCCCAAGTGACT